GGTAGATTTCTCAAAGCATTACGTCCTAATAAGAAAAACATTTGAAAGTACAATGCTATAATTAGACAGAATTTACGTAGTATAATGCCTTAATAACAAAATATTTACCTTCATAACCATAAGAAGGCAATCAGCCAAAAGGATAAACTTGTCTTCACCAAACCACTGGTGAATAAGTAACTTGAGGAGAATCATGAGGATAAATTTACCTTCATTATTACTTGTTTCTACAACCAATCCGGTAGAGAGTTTTCATCTTTACTTGCTACACAAATGTTACCATATAAAAATTTTGAGATAAAAAAAAAATTAAAAACCTTGACAAAGCTAGAAGAGAAATGTATTCAATTCAATTGAAAATATGACAGAGTTTGAGCGAGAGAAAGAGGAGAAGGTTAAAAGCTGGACTTTTGGGAGACGTTAAACACTAAAGGCCATTCTCTTCAACCTGATCTCCTCAATGAATGGATATCAATGAATGGATATGAAGCTATGCCAGTCTCATGATGGTTAGGATTATATGTCAACTACAACAGAAGGTTACTTATTAATTATTATTTTTTTGCTAAATGCTAAATACATAAAACCCATATGGCCATATCTAATCAAGGTATGGAACAACAAGACCCATTCAGTACAATACTTTCACTACAAGAAAAGGGACCTATAGGGACGACATTTGTCGTCTCTATAGGTTAGAAAGTCGTCCCTATAGATGGCTGTGAGGACAAGTCGTCTCTATATGCCTTTGTCGCTATAGCCCCGTCGCAATAGATAGCTTTTGTCGTCGCTGTAGATCACATCACATTGATCATACCGGAGGACATGCATATTACAATTCCTCTATTTATGATGTTTCAAGGCGGATGCATGGATTGTGGTGTTTGAAAGTCTCAAAACTGATGGAAAGATGTTAATACAATGACATCTAAAGCCTCATGATGAAAATAACTTCGGTCTAAAGCATATTTTTTTTTTGGAGCATTGTAGTTGTATATTTCTAGGTTAATGGGATGAATCCCAACATAATGTTTAGACATACATAAAAATAAGAGTTCAACTATGCATATTTACAAGACAAACAACTTATAATTGAAAGATATTCATACCTCTCATTCACTTAAACTTGGCAACCTCTTGAAGTAAGGATCACGACTTTTGTGATTTGACTTTGAGAAAAACAGTTGGAAATTTTGATAACCCATTTCAATAAGAACATAAAATAAATAATGCAAAATCGTGGAAAATGAAATAAAGTCATATTAGAGGTGTGGATTTAATTTGCATAAAGATAGTATGATTCATTGGAATTACCAATTTGCGATGCTTGATAATCCAATTTTTAAATGTGACTCACATGCGAGGAGAGATAACTCTTTCAACTCGACACTGGAGAAAGCAACCAAATGTACACAAAAATCAATTTTCATTGCCATAGTTAGGTAGATTTCTCAAAGCATTACGTCCTAATAAGAAAAACATTTGAAAGTACAATGCTATAATTAGACAGAATTTACGTAGTATAATGCCTTAATAACAAAATATTTACCTTCATAACCATAAGAAGGCAATCAGCCAAAAGGATAAACTTGTCTTCACCAAACCACTGGTGAATAAGTAACTTGAGGAGAATCATGAGGATAAATTTACCTTCATTATTACTTGTTTCTACAACCAATCCGGTAGAGAGTTTTCATCTTTACTTGCTACACAAATGTTACCATATAAAATTTTGAGATAAAAAAAAAATTAAAAACCTTGACAAAGCTAGAAGAGAAATGTATTCAATTCAATTGAAAATATGACAGAGTTTGAGCGAGAGAAAGAGGAGAAGGTTAAAAGCTGGACTTTTGGGAGACGTTAAACACTAAAGGCCATTCTCTTCAACCTGATCTCCTCAATGAATGGATATCAATGAATGGATATGAAGCTATGCCAGTCTCATGATGGTTAGGATTATATGTCAACTACAACAGAAGGTTACTTATTAATTATTATTTTTTTGCTAAATGCTAAATACATAAAACCCATATGGCCATATCTAATCAAGGTATGGAACAACAAGACCCATTCAGTACAATACTTTCACTACAAGAAAAGGGACCTATAGGGACGACATTTGTCGTCTCTATAGGTTAGAAAGTCGTCCCTATAGATGGCTGTGAGGACAAGTCGTCTCTATATGCCTTTGTCGCTATAGCCCCGTCGCAATAGATAGCTTTTGTCGTCGCTGTAGATCACATCACATTGATCATACCGGAGGACATGCATATTACAATTCCTCTATTTATGATGTTTCAAGGCGGATGCATGGATTGTGGTGTTTGAAAGTCTCAAAACTGATGGAAAGATGTTAATACAATGACATCTAAAGCCTCATGATGAAAATAACTTCGGTCTAAAGCATATTTTTTTTTTTGGAGCATTGTAGTTGTATATTTCTAGGTTAATGGGATGAATCCCAACATAATGTTTAGACATACATAAAAATAAGAGTTCAACTATGCATATTTACAAGACAAACAACTTATAATTGAAAGATATTCATACCTCTCATTCACTTAAACTTGGCAACCTCTTGAAGTAAGGATCACGACTTTTGTGATTTGACTTTGAGAAAAACAGTTGGAAATTTTGATAACCCATTTCAATAAGAACATAAAATAAATAATGCAAAATCGTGGAAAATGAAATAAAGTCATATTAGAGGTGTGGATTTAATTTGCATAAAGATAATATGATTCATTGGAATTACCAATTTGCGATGCTTGATAATCCAATTTTTAAATGTGACTCACATGCGAGGAGAGATAACTCTTTCAACTCGACACTGGAGAAAGCAACCAAATGTACACAAAAATCAATTTTCATTGCCATAGTTAGGTAGATTTCAAAGCATTACGTCCTAATAAGAAAAACATTTGAAAGTACAATGCTATAATTAGACAGAATTTACGTAGTATAATGCCTTAATAACAAAATATTTACCTTCATAACCATAAGAAGGCAATCAGCCAAAAGGATAAACTTGTCTTCACCAAACCACTGGTGAATAAGTAACTTGAGGAGAATCATGAGGATAAATTTACCTTCATTATTACTTGTTTCTACAACCAATCCGGTAGAGAGTTTTCATCTTTACTTGCTACACAAATGTTACCATATAAAAATTTTGAGATAAAAAAAAAATTAAAAACCTTGACAAAGCTAGAAGAGAAATGTATTCAATTCAATTGAAAATATGACAGAGTTTGAGCGAGAGAGAAGAGGAGAAGGTTAAAAGCTGGACTTTTGGGAGACGTTAAACACTAAAGGCCATTCTCTTCAACCTGATCTCCTCAATGAATGGATATCAATGAATGGATATGAAGCTATGCCAGTCTCATGATGGTTAGGATTATATGTCAACTACAACAGAAGGTTACTTATTAATTATTATTTTTTTGCTAAATGCTAAATACATAAAACCCATATGGCCATATCTAATCAAGGTATGGAACAACAAGACCCATTCAGTACAATACTTTCACTACAAGAAAAGGGACCTATAGGGACGACATTTGTCGTCTCTATAGGTTAGAAAGTCGTCCCTATAGATGGCTGTGAGGACAAGTCGTCTCTATATGCCTTTGTCGCTATAGCCCCGTCGCAATAGATAGCTTTTGTCGTCGCTGTAGATCACATCACATTGATCATACCGGAGGACATGCATATTACAATTCCTCTATTTATGATGTTTCAAGGCGGATGCATGGATTGTGGTGTTTGAAAGTCTCAAAACTGATGGAAAGATGTTAATACAATGACATCTAAAGCCTCATGATGAAAATAACTTCGGTCTAAAGCATATTTTTTTTTTTTGGAGCATTGTAGTTGTATATTTCTAGGTTAATGGGATGAATCCCAACATAATGTTTAGACATACATAAAAATAAGAGTTCAACTATGCATATTTACAAGACAAACAACTTATAATTGAAAGATATTCATACCTCTCATTCACTTAAACTTGGCAACCTCTTGAAGTAAGGATCACGACTTTGTGATTTGACTTTGAGAAAAACAGTTGGAAATTTTGATAACCCATTTCAATAAGAACATAAATAAATAATGCAAAATCGTGGAAATGAAATAAAGTCATATTAGAGGTGTGGATTTAATTTGCATAAAGATAGTATGATTCATTGGAATTACCAATTTGCGATGCTTGATAATCCAATTTTTAAATGTGACTCACATGCGAGGAGAGATAACTCTTTCAACTCGACACTGGAGAAAGCAACCAAATGTACACAAAAATCAATTTTCATTGCCATAGTTAGGTAGATTTCTCAAGCATTACGTCCTAATAAGAAAAACATTTGAAAGTACAATGCTATAATTAGACAGAATTTACGTAGTATAATGCCTTAATAACAAAATATTTACCTTCATAACCATAAGAAGGCAATCAGCCAAAAGGATAAACTTGTCTTCACCAAACCACTGGTGAATAAGTAACTTGAGGAGAATCATGAGGATAAATTTACCTTCATTATTACTTGTTTCTACAACCAATCCGGTAGAGAGTTTTCATCTTTACTTGCTACACAAATGTTACCATATAAAAATTTTGAGATAAAAAAAAAATTAAAAACCTTGACAAAGCTAGAAGAGAAATGTATTCAATTCAATTGAAAATATGACAGAGTTTGAGCGAGAGAAAGAGGAGAAGGTTAAAAGCTGGACTTTTGGGAGACGTTAAACACTAAAGGCCATTCTCTTCAACCTGATCTCCTCAATGAATGGATATCAATGAATGGATATGAAGCTATGCCAGTCTCATGATGGTTAGGATTATATGTCAACTACAACAGAAGGTTACTTATTAATTATTATTTTTTTGCTAAATGCTAAATACATAAAACCCATATGGCCATATCTAATCAAGGTATGGAACAACAAGACCCATTCAGTACAATACTTTCACTACAAGAAAAGGGACCTATAGGGACGACATTTGTCGTCTCTATAGGTTAGAAAGTCGTCCCTATAGATGGCTGTGAGGACAAGTCGTCTCTATATGCCTTTGTCGCTATAGCCCCGTCGCAATAGATAGCTTTTGTCGTCGCTGTAGATATCGTCGCCATAGGTAGCTTTAAAGATGACATATCGTCGTTGTTGGTTCATGGTTGTCGTCCCCATTGTTGGACCTATAGAGACGACATGTCGTCACCATAGCTAGACCTATAGCAACGACGTGTCGTCCCCATAGATGTTGTACAAAATTCACATTCAGCTCCTGTTTTATGTTTATTTTTCCAGTTTTCTCAAACATATAAAAGCAGAAACACAAAATTTAACTACAAAACATTAAACTATCATACAATATCAAAACATTTGAATATTTATACAAGTGTTTACCAAAACATACTACACAATCTGAAATTGTTTAAAAGTTTCATCCAATTTGTTTACTTGCTTGCATCACCACCTTCACACCTGAAAATATACAAATTCCCCATAATCTATTGTGCCACTGTTGTCCACATCAGCCTATGATAAAAGTAGAATATGCTTATAATAAACAAATAAATGGCTATTTCTATAACTTTCTTTATTAAGTGATTAAATACTAATCTTACTGCATCCATAAGGTCTCAAATCTATGTATCCATTGACTTGAACATTTCCCTCAAACCTGCAATCTCTTCTTCTGACAAGCTTTCAGCTATTACCTGTCACCATACATACAATACAACACAAAACATTTGCCAAAATAGGTTAATGCATGAAATAGAAACAGTGACCTTATCCCAAAAAAGAAAAGCAAGTAAACAGTTTCAGTTATGTACCCTTAAAGCCATCTTCTTTAACTTATTCATTGCTGAGAACTGCTTCAAACGAGAAAGAACAGCAGGATCAAGTGCTCTATCTGGAGCAACCCCATTTTCACATATCCATGGATGACCTGTTCTAATTACATCAACACATAAATACTTCCAATCTCACAAAAACATAACAGAAAACTGTCTTGTGTGTACTGGATTGGCCTTGGGACTAAGACTAATGTCAATGGGATATAAAAGACAAAAATGCCCTTGTCACCCTCATTATTAGAAATAGACCTAGTAAACATCATACATAGGACTTGATGGGCTGTTAAGCAGTTTGAAGGTTGAGAGCATAACATCTTTTGTATAACAAAAACTCTAGTAAACTAAGATGGTTTTTTAAAGTTTGAGATACTAAAACATTTGGATTGTGAAATAATGATAAGATAAAAGTAAGTAAACTTACCCTGTAATTTGCTTCTTTTGCTTGAAAAGAATTCGTAAGTATGACATCATAGCTACAAAGATCATGCAAAAGAGTAAAAGATACTAAATTCAAAGATAATGGATTAAAGAAAACTTTTTGTGTTAAAAAGGAAAAACATACTTGAGCCAGTCAATTATAGTCTTTTTTATCCCCACTAGCTTCCAAAATATTCACAAGAGCTCCAATATTCTGACAGTATACACAGGCCCCTCTTTAAGTGAGTAAACCTGTAAAAAAAATAATTCTTATTTCTAATTGAGTTCATGTTCTTAAGTAAGTGACATACAACTTTCTAGTGCTTCATAAGCGATAAGGACAAGCTAGTCATATCATTTTCAGACATCAAAATTTCTTGAATTTATTCTAAATATTTTCATTACTATGCAACTAAAATCATAGTAATTAAAGAAGCCCAGAGTCTCATGAACAACAAAATTACCTCAATTTCATATCCACTTGTTCTAAAAGCAGTTGCAACAGTAAGAATTAACATTCGCTGTGGATCAATGAACAAATCTACAAAAACCTACAAAATGGAACTAATAGAAGTTAAAGTTGAAACAACAGAGGAATACTGAAAACAAATAGTTATGGAATTTGAGTTTGTCGTCATCATCATTCTTAACCTATATACCAATTCCAATTTCAAACACATAATTGCTAACATTTACCTCAATAAACAGAGAATTACTAACCTGATAGCGGGAGTGGAGCTTGTATTCGATAGAATTCATAACCGGATGTGAAAAGGAAGTCGGTAGTCAGATCGGCGTTGAAACTAATCGTCATTGTTGAGCCCGACGATTGTGCTCGGAAACTAGTATCATAATCTATGGAGAGAGGAAGAACATTCACAGGGAGTGGGAGGCGAGGAAATCGCTGGAGGAGAAGATAATGGCTGAAATTACGGATGTGAGAATCTCCGATCTCTCTCTCTATCTCTCTTGAGAGCGAGACCGATGATTGAGTGTGCGTGAATGAAGCGAAGAAAATTGTTCTCCTGATTTAAGGCATAGAAAGCTATGGGTCCCTATAGCCTTCCCCAAAACCGCGCCTTTCCTACTTTCTTTCCCGCTTAGCATATTGAGAACACGGTAATTGTGGTGAGCAGAAGGAAAGTCAAACTCTATGGAGACTGACATGGCGTCCCTATAGGGCGTGTATAGCAACGACATATGTTGTCCCCGTAGATCCCGTGCTTATTCTTGTAGTGTTTGGACTTTAGATGAGTCGCATTCTTAATGGAGAATTTGTTGGTTGGTGGAGAAAATTGGTGGAGGAAAAGGTGGTCAAAGAAGATGGCCATAGAATTGGTGAACGTCAATTTCCAACAATTGTTTAACATTTGTGTGCTCTTACTTTTCACTTATTTTATTGGCGTAAAGCAATATATATAATAATATATATTTGGAAGTTTATGCACATATACAGCTATATATATGTGTTGTGTAGCAGAGAATGTGTGCATCAAATATAACTTGTAGAGTTATAAATTGTAATCTTATTGAGTTAATAAGAAAATCTAGTTGCAGCCCGTGGACGTAGGATTTACACCGAATCCGAACCACGTAAAATCCTTGTGTTCCTTCTTGCTTTATTTTCTCGTTTCGTTTGTGAGTGTGTGATAGTGTGTTTCCGCTGCGTGTACCCGGTCCGATTCCTAACAACTGGTATCAGAGCCTGGTTAGTGAGGTTTGGAGGGTACGATCGTTTTTTTTATCACGCACGAGTGTACCTGATTTGTATCTTGTTTGTCGTAATGGCTGAAGACAAGATTATAATCGAAAGGTTCAATGGTTCTGATTTTAGCTGGTGGAAAATGCAATTAGAAGCATTGCTATGTCAGAAAGACTTGGACATGGTACTCGGAGACAAACCGGAGAAAATTGAAAAAGCTGCTGAAGATGCGTGAAACTTAAAGGACAAGAAAGCCAAGGCGGTTATTACATTGTCGTTGACGAAGAGCGTTGCTTTCAACATCATGAATGAAACCACGGCGCGTGGTATGATGGAGGCTCTGTCAAATATGTATGAGAAATCATCGGCGGCTAACAAGGTGTTCTTGATGAAGGAGTTGTTCACTACAAGGATGAATGAGGAAGGCTCAGTTACGGTTCACATTAACAATCTAAATTCAATTCTGTCCAGATTATCATCTGTGGGAATTAAATTTGATAATGAGACTCAAGCTTCGCTGCTACTAGCTTTTCTACCTGATAGCTGGTCCGGAACAGTTACTGCTGTTACGAGTTCCGTGGGGACCAGTGGTATGACTTTTGAAGGGGTTAGAGATTTGGTTCTAGGCGAGGATATCAGACGCAAGAATCAAGGTGGATCTTCCTCTTATGATTTATTAAATGTCGGAAGAGGTAGAGGGAATAGCAGGAGCAGTGGGAGTCGGGGAAAAAGTTCTTCTAGAACTTTGAAGAATGTGAAATGCTGGAACTGTCAAGAAGTGGGACATGTTAAGAGTCAATGTCCAAAGAAAGAATTGAACATTGCTGGTGCTGAGAGTGTGTCTGAGGATGATGCATTGATACTCAGTATGGAAAGTTCTGTAGACTCTTGGGTCATGGATTCAGGGGCTTCGTTTCACGCCATGGACAACGGGGAAACGATGGTGAATCTAAAAGAAGGAGATTTTGGAAAGGTACGTTTGACAAATGACGAGATGCTTCAAGTAACGGGCATAGGAGATATTGATCTGGTTACTTCATTGGGAACTACATGGAACCTGAAGAATGTCAGGGTGATTCCGGAGCTGAAAAAGAAATTGATTTCTGTTGGTCAGCTGGATAAACAAGGACTGGAAGTAAGGTTTGGTGGTGGTAAATGGAGGGTGGTCAATGGTAATTCGGTGATTGCTCATGGTATGAAGTGTGGGTCATTGTATATGGTTGAGGTACCTGCTGAGGGAAGTATGACCGTCGCGGTTAAGAATGACAAAATCTGGTTCGCTAAATCTGGTGCTAAGAGAGTTCATTTTGCAAACATGAACTCTGGAGCCAAAGAGATGTTAGCTGAACGAGTTCGAAAGTCTAAACCATTCAGGGGATTTGGTGACAATGGGAGCACGGGACGTGTTTCGGGTAAAGTTACAAAGAGCCGTTGGGTTTTGAAGACTAAGACTGAAAAATTCTCTCCTGTTGGATGTTTGCTATGTTTGGAGAGTGTTAGTGGTCCTCGGTGTATCTCTGGATCTGGTGGAGTGTCCAAACCGGTTGAGACAGAGGATGAGTCGGTGGTGGGATTAGCCACGGCTGAGTTGGAGCTAGTGGAAACTTCAACTGGCCCTTCTAGATGATGATGAGGGGCGGCTGCAATTAGAAAAATTGGACTAAGTTTAGCTTGTTCTTGGGAACTGGAGGCTTGGAAGACTTGGTTGTTTTAAGATTACTGGAGAATTGTTGGGTTATTTTCTCCAAGTGGGAGATTGTTGGTTGGTGGAGAAAATTGGTGGAGGAAAAGGTGGTCAAAGAAGATGGCCATAGAATTGGTGAACGTCAATTTCCAACAATTGTTTAACATTTGTGTGCTCTTACTTTTCTCTTATTTTATTGGCGTAAAGCAATATATATAATAATATATATTTGGAAGTTTATGCACATATACAGCTATATATATGTGTGTTGTGTAGCAGAGAATGTGTGCATCAAATATAACTTGTAGAGTTATAAATTGTAATCTTATTGAGTTAATAAGAAAATCTAGTTGCAGCCCGTGGACGTAGGATTTACACCGAATCCGAACCACGTAAAATCCTTGTGTTCCTTCTTGCTTTATTTTCTAGTTTCGTTTGTGAGTGTGTGATAGTGTGTTTCCGCTGCGTGTACCCGGTCCGATTCCTAACAGAATTAAGGGGATGAAACGAATTACTGATGTATAATTGAAGGTTGGGGTCGAGTCCAAAACTTTAAGGAGACATAATGGTATTGTTAAAAGAGGCACTCTGAATCCATCATGAGAGTGGCAATCAACCATTCAAGATTTAACCTTTCTAATACAATTTGTGGGTTTGATCCAACTTGAACCTAAATCAAATTCACAGTGCCAAAAAAACACAAAAAGAGAACCACGTGTCTTAGAGAGGGGAGTGATTGAATAATGAATTACCGAAATCGTATATAAGTAAATACTTACATACAACATAAGAACCCTTTGATCCCATCTCTTCCTGTATCTGAATCCATGACATGATTGTACTTTTAAGAAAGGAAAGAAGACACGAAAGAGGCAAATGGGATGCCAGCCAGATATGTCGAATCTGCAACTTGATTATACTCGGTCGCAAGTGTTCTTTCAAATTAGCTTGAGGTGGCGATGAATGGGGAAAACACGAAGTCTTCCATTTTCAAATCTTGACGATGTACTTAATAGCATTTCTAATTGGGGAAAACAACAAGAGATGGTAAATTCCTCAATCATCATAAACGAACAAGATTTAATAAAAAAACAAATAGTAACATAGTGAAAATTTTAGAATTATTTAATATATGAAGCATTATCTAGAGTTAAAACTTAAAAGAATGTGAACAACATCAGGTAAGTTGGAGGTGAAACAAATAAGAAGTTAAGAATGTGCACAATCATGTTGGTGAGGTTGTAACTGTGGCAGGGACGATTCAATAGACTTGTTGATCCCTTTATAATTTATGCGATTATAAGGTTACAAATAAAATCAGTGTCAAGAATAATGGCAGCATGAAGCCGAAAATATGGTTAGCATGAAATCCCATTCATTGAATCAACAGTCAAAGAAATCACCAGCACGATAAATTCACAGGAGTAGTTAACAATATGTATCTAGTATTAATTTGAAAAGAGATAGAGTAGACAAGAAATACACAAGTAACAGAAAGCATGAAAACAAGGCAGGGGTAAAATCGAGAAAAGCACAAACGCAGCAGCTGAGTAAGAAGCAAACAATAACAGCGAAGTTAAACTAATAAGAATGCAGATACAACTGATTGACGTGTGAACGGCTTGAGGATTGTGCAGAATGTTGTGCGTGATGTTTTTTCTGGTGTAGATGATCCGTTTATATAGTAATAGGAAGGGTAATTGTGTAAACTTCACAAAACGGGGATGAGGATGCGATAACTGGGGAACAAGATCAGATCATCTTTTCCTCCCGATTCCTTCGGCTTCCCTTCGGGAACAAGGTGTATGTATGAAATTAGGGTTGTTATTTTATTTTATTAGTATTTCAATTTCAATATGCCGGGGTATTTTTGGATCGGCTAATGGATGGTTGATCGACCATCTGGATAACTACTATATATTTTCAATTAATTTGGCGGCAAGAAGACAAGGAGATGTTTGTGCCGCACACGGAGACACCGGAGGTGCCAATTCATATCATTCCCTTTTAAACTCTATTTCAAGAATGAAAGAAATAAACGAATTCTAGTTGAGGTTGGGAAGTGTTTGTGTGCATGGTATTGATAATGAATGAATTAGTACACATGTTTGATTTATTGAACTTAGAATTTATTTGGTTATATATGTTTCATCTTTATAATTTGGATTCATTCTGCAGTTGAGCAAATGCTTATTATGGACTTGAAGGATGGTGGTGCTGCAGCTTTGAATGACATCAGAACTGGTGGAGGTGAGGAAGATATTCTTGATAGCCGAGGTATGGCAGATTTAGATGTGGGCGTAGGTGCTGGTACATCTAATATGGCGAAAAAACGGAAAATTGTTGAAGAAATGGATGAAAAGGCACATGACACTAGTATCAAGGTAAGGTGGTAGAGATATCAGCTCAATTCCCTTTCATGAAATCCGTACTACTAGTAAATAATAATCATCAATAATATTGACATGCATCTATAGGTTGCGGTTGCTCGTGATGCAGACCTGTTTGAACAAATAGGGAAGGATATATATCTTGATCTTGTCGACCATGACAAAGTTTGGAGCCTTTGTCTAGAGAAGCAAATGCCATTTACCAGAGTGAAGGTATCTCTTATCTATTTATTTTCTTAAATGTGTTGTTATGGACTTATTGG